AGTACGACTCATAGCGACTCTGTGAAAAACAGATCTGAACCCCATCATTCCTGTGCCATCCTCACACTTCCTGACACACTAGAGCCCACTGAGGCAGTCACAGTGTCAATCCACCTGACCAAGGGTCCTCCTCTTCTTCACTGACTCTCCATCCCTCCAAGCACTATGTCCTTGTCCAAGAAATAAACACTCCTAAGATGATCCCCAAAATATGTGAGGCGAAGCCTCATCATTGTTGCCTCCAAAAAGCACTCAAGCTGCATACTCTCCAAGATGTATTTTTCCTTTCATTTGGCAGTCCATGGGATGTTGAAAGGAGGTTTTTTAATAGGGATTTTCTTTTTGCCAATTAAAGAAAGATCACTTTATTTACATGAAATCATGAATATCATAAAACTATGGTCACTTCCCAGGATTCATCTATGTAAACATTACAATTTCAATAGCTGCTATCGACAATAAATGCAGGCTAAGTACTACAAAAGGGATTACATTCATTGCTAAGATCATAGGGCTTAACTAAATCTATCATATATTTCTCTATTAAAAAATGTATTAAAATTTAACCCAAAAGCTGACTGGCTTCAGTGAGGGGGGAAAAAAAATCTCATGCTTCCATTGGTAGCAGATTATCCGAAAATGTTTTTCAATTCTTTGCTTTTTCAGCTTTTTTGAAACATAGCCCTGAGTCACCTAGTGACATTTCCAGTGGCAGGCAAACTGACTTATGTTTAGGACTTCCCAACATTGCCTCTAATTCATCTAATGCTCTCCTAGGACAGGGCCACAGTCGACCAGAACCACTTCCTGTGCATTGCACCTATAAACTTCTAGCGTTATTTATAAACATTGATACAGGTATGGATTAACTGTATTTTCTAGCTTCAGTTATAGTGTTTTAATATCCGTACCAAGTAACTTTTCTTCTATAACTGGATTGCAAGCTCCTATGTTTCCTGTTTGGCAAACACTCCAAAGCACAAATTTAAAATATATCTGGCCAATGAAATCTGTGTGTTCTGTCTTTTCCCACCCTCTTTCCCTAGAAAGCTATCCACAGTCCTCTATTGCTATCTTTGCTCCCTGTGGCCCTGCCAACTATGCTGTCAACTCCAGGAACTAGAATTTATGTCTTTTTTTATTGTTGATTTTTAAAATTCTTTTTATTGTTGCTGGCTTCCTTCCCCTGATTCACATTGTATAATAACTATGACCTTGATAGTACTATTAAGTCATGTTCAAAACAAGGTAGCACAAAATCACACGTTAGCAATTCAGACTTCCTGATAACAAAGGGTAGTAATTATGTATTAACACAGTGTGCAGTGATAGCAACCCAACTTTTATAAAACTTTCTGTTAATAAGCAGGAATTAAAAATTCAATTTCTTTTGAAAATCTATTTTATGTAATTATCTGATTTTCAACTGCAAATAGTAACACGGAACAGAAACCTGTCAACTGAATATTTACCATTGAAATCAGATATTCTGCAAGTTCATGGTGATCAAATAACGAAGCTCTGAAAAAAAATAATTACAACAGAAGATTACTGTCAGTACAGATGCATAAAATAAAGATGCCGCCTGTAATTTCACTTGTTATTTAACAATAGTATAGGATATTAGCTAATTAGGAATCTTTCAAAGCCTATTCATGATTCGGATAAGGACAATTTTTTTAAAGTAATAATAGCAAACAGTCAACTCCATTACAATTTTCCCTTAAATTATAGTAAACTTATTTCTCCCTGTAAAACCATCATAATTATTGCTTTCTATCCCTGAAGTAAGTACAAGTTTTTATCCCCAAAGCTTAAAGTATAAGATGAAAATAAATGACCCTCTCTATCCATGGAGGGAACTCTGACGGCCGAGTGGGTAAGGGGTAGACCTGTCAAATCAAAGACATGTTGTTTGAACCTACCAGCTGCTCTGCACGGGCAAGATCAGCAGTGTTCACCTGCGTCCTCTGAAAACCTGCTGATGGGTCAGCTCCGAGTCAGTGCCAACTCAAAAGCACAATAACAACACTAATCATAAGTTGAATTATAGAATTATTTACATATACTTAATATGTATCAGCTGCAAGCAAGAAGCATAACGATTCACTGCAGGGGTCAGAAAGGACACTATATAGGCTTTTCTTTGCCAAAATTTGTAAAGATCAAGATGCTATTCTAAGTATTCATGAAGTGGAGAGGAGGAAGGAATGTGTGTGTGTGTGTGTGTGTGTGTGTGTGTGTGTGTGTGTGTGTGTGTGAATTTTCTTCTCCTCAGAGGCAAGGATTTTGAGGTTCTGTCTCATTATACTTAGGGCACCATGGTCAGGAGGGACCAGTCCTTGGAGAAGGATATCATGCTCGGAAGGGTGGTGGGAAGACCCCAGATGAGCCAGATTGATATAGTAACAGGGATAGTGAGGGTAAGAATGTCAAGTCAGTGAGATTGGCTCGAGATTGGCAGGCTTCAGAGCTGTCGTGCATAGGGTCTCTACAAGTCACAGGTGACTTGACGGCACATAACAACAAAAACAACAAATTAAACTTCAGGAAATGGTCTTCTCAATCACTTGTTTTGCATCTAAGGGCCAGATGATAAACAAGAATGATGGAAGAATGCTTTTGAGTTTGTGGTGTTGGGAAAGAGTGCTGACTATCCAATGGATTGCTAGGCATACATCTTGGAGAAAGTGCAGCCAGAATGCCCCTTGGAGGCAAGGATGATGAAGCTTCATCTCACATACTTTAGGTATGTTATTAGGAGGGGCTATTATCATGTTTGGAAAGGTAGAGGATCAGCCAAGGAGAAGAAAATTCTCAACAAGGTGGATTGAAACAGTGAGATGCAGTGGGCTCATTGAATGTCAGAGATGTTAAGGATGGCACAAAATAGGGCAGTGCACCATGGATACACTTCCTCCAAGGCAGACTTGTTAGTTCTGTAGATAGTCTATGGGATATTTAGTACTCTTTTCCATCATCACAATTCAAAGGCATCACTTATGTTATTCTTATTCACTGTCCAACTTTCAGGAGCATAAGAAGTAATTGAAAACACCATGGTTTGGATTAGGTGCTCCTTAGACCATTTAATTCTTGTCTTCCCAAAGGAACTAAACTTTTTCCTATCCTGCCTGATTCCTGACATAACCTCTCACTTATCACTATCAAGTTGGAACTGACCCTTAGCTGATCTTTCAGTGGGTTTTCAGGATGTTGTAAATCACACGGGCGATTGCTCATCTTTTCCCACAAAGCAACTGGTGGATTTGAACTGCCAGAAAGGGGCCACCTTTGGGTTAACAGCTCAACTCTCCATGGACGATGTCACCAGAATTCCCTTGTCCTGTATTCAGACACTTTGTGCCGTATTCTCCAGAGACGTTTACATTGTTTGAGAGTTGCATATAGTTTACTAACGTTTTGAAAATATTTTATATTTGTGGGAGTAGAAAAGAGAAAAACAGGGTGAGAAGAGTGGAGCATTTATCCATACCCAGGGCATTATCTTCATTTAAAATTAACATAAGACATAGATGAGGAATCAAAGCAGTTTAGATAGGGCTTTGAAAAAACTTGTATTTTGACCTTTTCAGCAATCTAACTGAAAAAATATCCTTTTCTTGATGATAACCTTGAATCTAAATTAAATAGATAACAGTTGGGTCTAAATATACCTCTATTGTTGTTGTTGAGTATAGTCGAGTTGGAACTGATCCATAGAAGATTCTGTAAATGGTTTTCAGAGGTAGTAAGTCACAAGGGAGGAGACTGCCCATCTTTCTCCTGTCGAGCAAATTGCATACCTCGGTGTTGGCAACGCAGCTCCTTACCACTAAGCTCCCAGAACACCTTAAACGTGCTACTAAGGAGAATATTCTCTGAAAATCTATTTAACATTTACTCTAATTCCAGAGGAACAAGATTCCAGTTGAACCTAGAATTCTATTGTACATGTTCTTTTGAGCTCTGTAAGCTTTGCCAGTATCAATGCTAAGTTATACTTAAAAGATACAGTTTAACAGGTAAGCATTAAAAATTTGTATATGGAAAGCAAGATGGGAAGCTTGCCTGTGAAGCAATGTCTCCTGATTTCCATCCACTGCATTAATAATATCACTGTCACCAGAGTAGGAGGATAACATCAATTTAACAATCTCCGTGGCTCCCTGGGTGGCAGCAAAGTGAAGAGCGGTGCACTTCCCATTCTGTGAATAATTATGACACCAGAATCAATATTAAAAACTCAACATATGGTATACTACCATTTCAGGTACTAGATTCTTCAGTGGTCAATAAAATCAAAGAATAATGATGAAAGCAGAGGTCAGTTTTATCTACTCAAAGTCATCAATACAAATATTATAAGTAAAAACTATTTTCTTAAAATATGTGAGTTCTTAATATATACTTTTATCATCATTATCTGGATGCCATTCTCCTAAAAGTGTAAAATCATCATTGCTATGAACTCTTTCTGTGTAAAGAAGTTTTATATCTTTGATCATCTTCATTTGGACATTGATATGATTTGGAGAAAGTCCTTCTCATTCTAAAATTGACTGGACTTTACAATAGCTGGGAAAGGAGCATGTTCTCATCCATCCAAAGGACATGAAGAATTTGGACCCCAGGCCAGATGAACAGACAAAGCAAGCTACAACTCTGTACTTAGAGTTACAGAGGGTGGGCATGAAGTTGGGACTACAGAGCTTTGCCATTACTTTCACATGCAGAGCCTTATAAATTAGTTAAGATATTCCTTATTTAAAATAGGATCACTTTAGAGAAGAATTCACAAAAGATTAGCAACTAATCTTTAATGTTCTGGGCTAAGCATATTATTATGTAAATTAATTTAATTTATTATCAAATGCATTTACTTCAAGACAGGTAAATGGAATAAATTCTTTTTTTTATGGCCAAAAGTGTTTGGGGTAGCACCTCAGATTTCTTTATGTAGGTTGAAATAGTGAATCTTTTCTTGATTTGTACCTCAATATCTGTTTCCCTCCAGTTGTTCCACCAGGAACCCTAGTGGTGCAATGATTAAAGTGTTTGGCTACTAACCAACAGGTCAGCAGTTTGAACTCACTAACTAGTTTATAGAGCACAATGTGTCAATCTGCTCATCACTTTGGAAGTCTTGATAGGACAGTTTCACTATGACTCAGAATCAATTGATGACAATAAGTTTGGAAGGTTGATTTTTAAATATTGTATCTAAATAAATCATAATTTAATGTAACTGTAAAAGTCCTGCAAAGCATTTTTTTTGGAAATTATTTCTATGACAATTCGAAAATAATGTGTTACCGAAAAATGAGGAACAATCACCTCCATTAGATCTATCTGTGCCCCGTTGTCCAGGCATATTCTGATCATTTCCAAATCCCCACTTTGAACGGCCATGTGGAGAGGGCTGTGCTTCCCGTTATTAACAAAGTTAATATGACACTGTCTGCTATAGCCATTTTCTTCACCTTTAGAAGGAAATAAACCTCAAGGTGACTGAAATACTCAAAATCAATAAAAGCAAGTTTTAAAAGAAAACATTTAGACATACATAGAACTCCATATCCACCCGACCCCAAGAATAGACCCTTTATATAATGTTGTAAAGTCTCTACTCACCGACTTGTAGTATTAGTTCCATACATCTTTTGGCCCCTGAAAATGCAGCCAGATGGATAGGAAAACATCCACACTTATTTGCTATACACATCTTAGCTCCTTTACTAAACTAGGGGCGGGGGAACAGAAACAAAAAGAACAAACAAACAAAAAAAGTCAAATAAGTGACACGAGTGAGTGTAACTCTAAACCACTAGGCTAAACAAAAATCTATATGTGCTTTCAGACCATATTCTGAGTCTTTCATTCTAGTATATCCCTGAACATTACAGTTTAAAAATATCAGAAAGAAAATCGTTACATGATATGGAATGCAGGCAAGAAAAATTTTGCAGCTATACTAAGATTCTGATAAAGAAGCACTTTACATTTTCTGTCTTTTCCAAATCAAGTATTATCTAGATACAAAATTTCAATAGAATATCCAGCAAAATAAAACGAACACATTTTGAATGAGAATATTTTTAACATTATTGTGACTCTTCCTATGTACATTTCCAATTTCTCACGCAAATAAAGCACTATTTCCCAAACCCTTTATTATTTTTACGGAAATAAATTATTAGACAAGCATTCCTTTCAAAACTATGAAATTAGGAATTTTCACTTATTAAAAGCCCTTTACTAAAATGAAATTTCTTGTTTTCTTATTGTTGTCAAGTAGAAACTGGCTAATGGTTGACCCTCCAGTGGGTTTTCAGAGGCTGTAAATCACACAAAAGGAGATTGCCCATCTTCCTCCTGCAGAGCCACTGGTCCTTTTGAATATGCAGAAGACGCATCCACTTTGAATTAGCACCACAACTCCCTACAACCCCTGGGCTCTTTAAAATGTAGCTAGAACAACTGAATATTATATTACCTTTGTAACTGAGGAACCCTCTTCAACTTCCATTTGCCATGGGTAATTGAGCTGTATATTGTTTGAAATATCTTCTATTGTTATTGTGTACCATCAAGTAGAAAGTGACCCATGGCTGACCCTCCAGTGGGTTTTCAGAAACCATAAATTGCATGGGAGGAGATTACTCATCAGTAGCCCATGGAGCAGCTGGTGGATTCAAATTATATACCTTACCATTGACAGTGCGAGTCCTTACCATTAAGCCACCAAAGCTTCTTATCTTTTATCAAATACCTTTTATTGTCATGAAAGGTGTTGAAAAGGGCAGGAAAGTATGAAACATATGTACTACCGTTAATTTCACATTTGACATAGTATTTGTTTATATATTAGAAGATAATGTTTTTAGTCTTTTTAGCATATTAATTTCTATAATACTGTTTGTAAACTATTTTACTTAATAATAATCTGTATAGGGGAGCTCTGGAGACCTACTAGCAAGAAGCTGCACTGCAATCCCAAATGCATGCAGTTTAAGGCCTCCAGCTGCTCCATGGGAGAAGCATAGGCAATCTCCTCCCATACAATTAACTGCCTCTGAAAACCTGCCAGAAGGTCAGCTATGGGTCAGTTCTAACTCTAAATTACAAAGAACAGCAATAGTCTGTATGCAAAATAATATTTTACTATTCAAGTAAGTTTTTTGACTAGTTTTATATTTTTGCATATAAAAACTGTATGATCAATCTTGATAAACTTTTTCTAGTTTTCACACTTTGATACTTAGAATGCTGAGGTTCATATCCTTAATCATAGGAATGTGTTATAATTTTAATGATCTTGTTGGGATCTATCCTAAGAATGGAATGATCTTATTAAAAAATATTTTTACCAACAGTGAATGAAATTTCCTGACTCATCAAAATTTTTATTAACACTGGTTATCAACAACATATTAATATCATGCAAAATTAACAAGTGAAAAATATGACATCTCATTATTTTTCTTTCTCTTTGGTAATTACAAATATTGCTGAGATTTCATATGTCCTTTGTCAATTTTTCTACTGGAACATTGTCATTTTCTTACAGATTTATAGACTTGTTGGATAAAAACATAGGTAGATATAATTGATCAATATATTTTCTAATATTAAAGTATCTATACAGTCTTGGAAACGGTACAACAAAGCCTTGGCATACCTTCTATTAATTTTTATTAATTAATTTGCTAGATTCTGAAGTATCTTGCTGCTGGAAACCCTATGAACCTGGAGAAAGGATGGAAGTTATAGAAGTGTTCAGGTCTTTCATTCATAGGGTCACTATGAATTGCCTATGATTCAAAGGCACTTAACAACAACAGCAACAGTAGTTTATGTAAGATTTTGTGTCTATATTTAATTGTTGCTAATTGCCGTCGAGTCAAGTGCAACTCATAGTGACCCTATGAACAAAAGGCCTGAAGCCTTTCTAAATTTTCATTTATCAAAGTTCTTAAGACTTTGCAGAGGCATGTTGTTTAGGAGGTGGATGCCACTCTTATGAAAAATTAGTCTACACTTTTGTTGTTGGAGTAGGTGCCAAGATTTGGAGTTAAGATTATAAATTCACATTGGTTTTCTCACATTTTCTCCTACACTTTTGAGTAAACCATTTCAGACCCTTTTAGGAATTAAGAGTAGTTAGGTATCTAAGAACTAAAAGCACAAAACAAATTTTCTGGCGTATTTTCTACATATTTTGCTAAAGAACAAAACTAGAAGACCTGTTGTCAAAAAATCAACAATAATTCAAGACATAGTAACAAAATGATAATAGAAAAATAAATCCATTTACAAACCAAAATTTGCAGAGCTTCACTGTTATCTTTGGAGCATGCGATCACCACAGCAGTGTTTCCATTTTCCCCTTCCAAATTAATATTAGTGCTTCTATGTTCCACCAGGACCTACACAAGACACAAAGAAAGGCAGGCTGGCTAACAGCTCAACTGTACATCTCCAACCAGGGTATTGTGTCCTCCACTAGATTATAAGCTTACTGATGGCAGAGGCCGTGTATTAAAAACACCTGGAAAAACTTCTTGCACATAATGGACACGAAATACATTTCTCAAATATAAATGACTTTGATCTCTATGTATCAGTCACATCAATATTGAATTATGGAACTGGAAATACAGTAAGAATTAGAGATATTAACATAGCTCTAGAAATATGCACTTAAGTGAAAAATATTAATAGCTTCAAGACAGTCCATTTATGGACTCATTTGGAATGTATGTGTGGGAAGAGCAGAAACAGCCCTTCTCCTGTTGACCCCCAGGCATTAGCATTCTACCTCAACTGCAAGCTCTTGGGAAATGTCAATTCTTTCACTTCAGTAGGGACAAAGATTAATGTGATTTGGGTGCGACTGAATTAACTGGGACCTCATCTGGGGTGGTTTCTTACATTCTAAGATGTAAGAAATTAGCATCTGATAATATGAGTGACAAATTTTTCTTACAGAGTTTAATTGATATCTCTTTACTCCCTCAGTAGGTTGGCTGATTACCAGCTATTTCTAGGCCAAGAATCTGTACATCTCTAATCGCTCTTTTCTCATACAGCAAAATTCCATCAACACCTTAAAACATAATTATAATTAAATTGTTAAAAAATATTTGAAAAAGCAGGGTTTTTGGATGTGTTTTTAATAGTACACAGAATAACACCAGAGCACCTTATCAATGAAAGATCTGCCGTGAATGCTAGTGAAAGAATTAGGCTACCTGATTAGTACTACTCAGAATAAAAGAAAGTGTTCTGAAAATTTAGCACATCATAACAGACAAGAAAAATATAGACAGATGAAAAGAACTCAGAAGATAAGCTGCAATCTACGAGTTATATAATCTTATTTTCTATAACTAAGAAATTATAGTTTCACATATAATCTATCAAAGTAGCAATAGAATTTACATTCTTACAATAATTGGTTATTTAATTATAACATCCATGTATTATGAATGTGTTATTGTTGTTGTTATGTGCCATCGAGTTGCGTGTGACTCAGCAATCCTATGTACAACAGCCCTAAACTCCACTCTGTCCTGTGCCAATCACACTGTCTCTGACACTCCCATCCCAATTATCCCAGTCACTGAATCAATCCACCTCCTAGAGGACCTTCCCCTCCTGTGTTATCCCTCCATCCTCCCAAGCATGATATCCCTCTCCAAGGACCAGTCCCTCCTTACGACATGTCCAAAGTATGTTAGATGGAGCCTCAGAATCCTTGCCTCCAAGGTGCCACCTGGTTTAACACTGTCTAGGACAAATCTGTTTGTTTTCCTAGCAGTCCATGGTACCCTCAATACTCTTCTCAAGCACCACAGCTCAAAGGCATCAATTCTCCTTCTATCCTCCTTAGTCATTGTGCAACTCTCTGATGCATAACAAGTGATAGCAAAAACCATGGCCTGCATTAGACACACCTTAGTCTCCAGAGAGACACCATTGCTCTTCAGTACTTTGGAGAGGTCCCTAACAGCAGACTTTCCCACGGCAATACGTCTTCTAATTTCCTGTCTACTGGTGCCAAGAGTGTTGACTGTGAAGCCAAGCAAACTAAAGCTGTGAACAATCTCAATCTCTTCACCATTCATTCTGATGCTGCCAATTGGTCCAGTGATGAGAATCTTGGCCTTCTTGACATTGAGCCTCAATCCATATTGGAGTCTGCAGTCCTTGACCCTCTGCAGCAAGCACTTCAGGTCCTGCTCAGTTTCAGCAAGCAGGGTTGTGTCATCTGCATAATGCAGATTATAGATCTTCCAGTAATCTTCACCCCACATTTTTCCTCATAGAGCCCAGCCTCCCACATAATCTGTTTTGCATACAGGTTGAAAAGATATGGAGACAGGACACATCCCTGGCATACGTCCTTCCCAATTTTGAACCATGCAGCGTTCCCTTGCTCTGTTCTGACAATTGCTTTCTGGTCCAAGTATAGGTTTTGCATTAGCACGATCAAGTGTTCTGGGATTCCCATTCTTCTCAGAGTCAGCCACAGTTTGTTATGATCCACACAGTCAAACGCCTTTGCATAATCAATGAAACACAGCTAGACATTCCTCCGGTATTCCCCACTTTCAGCTAAGAGCCATCTAACATTAGCTACAGTATCCCTAGCACCACGACCCCTTCTAAACCCAGCCTGGACTTCTGGCAGTTCTCTGCTGATGTGCTGTTCCAGTCATTTTTGGTTAATCTTTAGTAGAATCTTGCTTGCATGTGAAATCAATGAGATTGTTCTATAGTTTCCACACTCTGTTGGGTCATTATGAATGTACTGTACTGAAAAATCTTCTGATCAATTACATGTGGCAGGAGTGCCAGAGAAAGTGACTACTCTGGGAATTTATGTCAATTCACTCAGTCCAAGGAAATCTGGAAGCTTAACAAATGAGCTCTGTAGGGAAATCTCAGGTGAGAATCTAAATATTTTCATGGGAAGTTCAAACAATTCTATATTCTGAGTTTCAACCTTTATAAGAACTAAAGTCTGAGACCATTGAGAAGAAAGGACCAGCTCCTAATTCCAACCACTGTATCCAAGAAGCAGTACACATGCCCTCTTCTGTTTCTGAAACAATGTTAGATGATATATTAGTGATGATTATTTTTACTTTAAAAGAGCATGGGGAGCTATGAAAGATCTCAAGGATGGCCGGTGGAGTAGCCATTTTTAAAAGGCAGGCCTGGAGGGGCATCCCTGCAGGGAGACATACACCAACAGAACAATTTCAGGTAAGCACACAGAGAAGGACCCAAAATTCTTTCTCTTTTTTCCTTTTCTCTTCATCTTTCATAAAACTAAATGATGTGGAAACATCCTTAGATTTATTTGTAGCCAGGAAGACTAAGTAAGGAAAAGACAGTTTCTGTTCTTTTAGAATTCTATTCTTCTGTCTTCCGGATCTCCTTAGGGGACTCTTCTTTGTGCCTGCTCTCTAGTTCACAAACACAGATAGGCCCATTTCTGAACATTTTTTGTTGTTTTTACATGCTATCTATCATTCTCTATTGGCTGGTCTGAAGATTTCTGATTTCTAATTAATACAAATCTTTCAATTATTACCTGCCTTTGAATTCTCAAATCATACTTTCACAGTCAAGTTAATTAAGCCAAAAGGCATTTGCTTTTGCAAACATCCTTCAGAAGAAACCCCAAAGGGAAAAATGGGAAATCTCTGGGAGTCTCTGCAGTCATTAATGGCTCAAGCCAAATGACACAAAAGCATCAAGGAGCCCATGAACAAGTGACTTGAAAATAAAGAAGGGGGTTATTGTCAGAAATCACCTTCTCAGGACCTACTCCTGTTGACAGAGCTTCACTTATCCTCCCGTGTGCTGATAACTCAGTTCTCTCCTTCTCCAGTCAGTACTCCTATACACCTGTTCATCCATTCATTCTACTCAACAGCTATCATTGGCCAGCACTACACAGAAGACTGGAGAGATTTATATTGTTGTTGTTGTTGTTGTTGTTATGTGCCATCGAGTCACCTTCGACTCATAGCGACCTTATGTACAACAGCCCTAAACTCCACTCTGTCCTGTGCCAATCGCACTGTCTCTCACACACCCATCCTTATTATCCCAGTCACTGAATCAATCCACCTCATAGAGGACCTTCCTCTCCTGTGCTGTCCCTCCACCCTTCCAAGCATGATGTCCCTCTCTAAGGACTGGTCTCTCCTCACAACATGTCCAAAGTATGTTAGATGGAGCCTCAGAATCCTTGCCTCCAAGGAGCCACCCGGTTTATATTAGGATTGCGTAATTCCTCCCTTTTCAAGTGCGTAACTGGCAAGTGGGAGAGGAAAACACATGAGCTTTTTTTGGTTACAATTCTGGCAAGGATGGGTGTTATGATAGAGCAAGGTATGGTGGGAAAGTGGAAACTGCTCCTCCAGCAGCCTCTCCATAGGCCTCATAATGTCAAGGACTCAGCCATCTGGGAGAAGGGTGTTGGGCTAAAGGGAATGAGAAGTTCATTAATATTTCTGGGACCTACTTGCTCACTTACAGATAAAGTGGGTTTGAGTGTCTCTTAGCACAACAGCCACAGTGTTATCTGCAATACTGTTTTGTAGAACAAAACTTTTATATGTCCCAAATAGCCTCTCTCAGTAATGAACTCCTTGAATGTGATCCCTTCTTAAATTGGATTCCAGTTAAGCATGCATGTGTGTTTTCTAGAGTGTGTAAATATATTCTGTGGGCGTACAGGATGTAGTTTAGAAGCTATGTCCTAAATCTTACCCTTTGGGTACTTAGAAGTGTGTCTTTCCTGGGTGGTGCAATGACTGAATGTTCAGCTCTTAACTGAAAGGTTTAGAGTTCATCCAGAGGTGGCCTAGAACAAAGGCCTGCATCTGCTTCCAAAAGATCAAACACTGAAAGCCCTATAGCTCACATATCTCTAGAGTTGACATACCAGTTGTTGTAATGTTCCATGGAGTTGGAATTGACCTATAGCTGACCTTCCAATGAGTTATCAGAGACTATCAATCACACTAAGCCAGGAAGCACACCTGTTGTTATGTACCATCAAGTCAGAACCGACCCATATTTGTCAGCGAGTTTGAAAGGCAGTAAATTGCACAGGAGGAAATTGCTCATCTTTCTTGTGCTGGGCTGTGGGTCGATTCAAACTGTGTACCTTTGTGGTGATAGCACAATTCCTTACCACTAAGCTCCAGAGCTCCGCCTAGACCATCATAAGTCAGAGTCTAGTTAGCATAAATAGCTTTGGCTTTTTGTTTTTATTTCAAGTTTTGTATTCTTTTGGTTTTATCTACTTGAGCAAAACTGTTGCCAAGCCTTGGGAACATTAAACAAATAAGAAATTCATCAACCATATGGTAAGTCTCTAATCACTCAAAATAGAAAAATCAGAATTATATTCTCCCTTTCCCCCAAGTCACTCATCATCTCCCTCCTTTTAGCCATTAAAACACTCAGATAAGAAGCAAAGACGCAAACAAAACTGCTAACATCCATAGCAGCAAACAGATAACTGCTTGGTCAGATATGCTACACCTTATGCTCCTGAATCTATTTCTACCAGTCATTGGGTAAGAGTTTCACAATTGTGGGGTTTGTTTAGAAAAATAGTTTGGCAAGTAGGGGGGAGGCAAAGAATATCACATAATTCAAGTCTATGTTCAGTACAGCAATCCCAAACTAGATTAACAAGGCACCATTCTTCAATTAGTGGTAGTCTGGTTTCAGTTCAGCAGCACAAATACGAGAAACCTCTGGTTTCCCCAATTATTCAGCAAACTATTTCAGAGCACTTATAAGTCATCTTTTCTTCTAATTATCTGGCAAGCAAAACCTTTAACTTTAGCATAAATGCAGGATTCCTCTGGTTACACCTTGCCATGATCTCTTCACAGTAGTGCCACAATCTCCACATTCTCTCCACCATCGTCACCAGGGTATCTCATAGTGTAGGAAGCGCTCTCTCTTATATTGGTCCCACAGCTGTTGATGATTTGAAAGACCATGTGCTCTCAAAAGGTAGCTCGAAACCAACATAATGGTTTTAAAGACAATTTTCAAGAATTCTGACATCCCAGTAGGCAAGTTTTAATATTCTCTCTCAGTGATAAAATAGATCTTACAATAATTATAGCTCATAGTTTGTGTTTTTAAATGTTGTTGTTATGTTCTATTGAGTCACTTGTGACTCATAGAGACCTTATGTACAACAGCTCTGAACCCTGCTCTATCCTGAGCCAACCTTATTGTCTCTGACATACCTATCTGCCTTACCCTAGCGACTGAGTCAATCCATCTCATCAAAGATCTCCTCTTGCACAGTCCCTCCACACTCCTAAGAGTGATGTCCCTCTCCTAAAACTGAACCCTCCTTTCAACATGCCCAAAGCTTGTAAGAAGGAGCTTCAGAATCCTAGCCTCTAAGGAGCAGCCTGTTTTCATCTTTTCCAAGACAAACCTGTTTGTTCTCCTGGCATTCAATATTCAAAGGCATCAATTATCTTTGAGGACTAAATAAACTAAAACATGCAAAACTCTTACAAAAGTTCTTTGTACAAAAAAGGCTATTTATTAAAGGTGAGAAAAATTATTGTTATTTTCATCACCATCATCAATAGTTGGTCACAAGAAAAGAAGATAAGGATTACATTAGTTTGCCCTGGCATCTTTGGCTGGCCATGCTTCCCAGGCCAAGGGAGGCAAACAAGGGGTTCACCTCTGGCCCCACATGAGTCTTGGGCAGCCTTACCTTCACCACCTCAATGTTCCCAAACTGCACAGCCAGGTGGAGAGGAGCCATCATGCTGTTGTTCCTGAGATTGGGGTTTGCCTTTCTGTTGAGAAGAAACTTAACACTTTCAACTTGGTTTTTTTCTGCAGCCCAGTGCAGAGGTGTATTTCCATAATTGTCCATCACATTCACCACTAGAAAAAGATACAAAAATGAAGATCAGATTTGGCTTTGACTGGATTCAACACCTACTGACTGACTATATTCTCCAAATTCTGTACCAGGTCCAATTATCATAGTCTGTGTCTTCCCTATTATATAGAAAAAAATATACCTTGGGTCCTCAAGAAATATATACTGAGCACCTGTGGACAATGCACAGATAGTCAATGTTGACCTTATTGTAAAGGATAAGTCTGTCTACTTATAGAATTATAAGAAATATATCTTTGTTTTATAACAGATATATTTCTCCAATATTAATTTTGTGTTTATTGTTAAGATATTGAGATTATGCAAAAGAGGTAATTCCATGCAGGTATTTTACTTGAATAAGATGGCAATTATTCAACTTTTTCAATAGCCCTTTTAGATATTATGATTTTATTTCAGACCAAAAAGCTGAGGCCCTGATAAATTAAAAATTTTGTCAAGTCCATTCAGCTCCTAAGGTGTGTAATTTTCTCTAATTTCTCATAACCTTGCAAGGCTACAGGGCAATTAATATTATATAATATCTTTAACTACCTTAGCATAGTTATGAGCATCATGATAGAAATTGCTCAAAAATTGTTAAGAAAAAAAATTATACAGTTAATAAATTCCAAGCTAAGCACAAGCCCCTTTATGTTACACGCACTTCCCACACATTTCCACAACGTACAATATCGCACTTTTGACTCTGTGAGTTAAGCATTAAGAATAAGTCTATTTCATCTTGTAGAGTCTCATATTTATTCTAAAAAAGATAGGAGTCTCTGTTTTATAAACTTTATTTAGTGTTGGTGTAGTTGTGTATCTGAGGAGAGAGAGAAATATACACTCAAATGTCATATGGGGACAATCTAGGATATATGGGACATTTCTCCTGTGATGTGAATTTATTTTCAACTATGTCCCTTCTCTCACCCAAGTCTTAACTTTCAGTAACATGAGTGTGCATGCTTACACATACGCACACTCACACTTTCTTTGACCATCCTCTCTGATCATCTTTAGGCATGTTGTCAAGAGGGATCAATTGTTGAAAAAGGATATCATGCTGGAAAAACAGGAAGGATCAAAGAAGGAGAGAAAGACCCCGAGAAAGATGGATTGACAGTGACTGTGAGAATGGGCTCAAACATATCAGAAGTGCAAGTGTGGCATGAGATAGGACAAGGTTCAGATCTATGATTCATTCATAGCCGCTACAAGTTAGAGTATATTCAGTGACACCTAACAACAGCAACAATAATTCTGATCATGACAATATATATCACTCAACATTTTATCCTGCATCAAATTTAATGAAGAAGGGCATATCAACTAAACAGGGAGTTGTCCTACAAACCCAAAGGCTGCACCTCTCTGGAGGTTAGAATCCTCAAGAAGTCTGGGGAAGAAAAATGAGAAATCTCCTCACAAGCAGCTTACCGTCTCAGAAACTCATGAAGGGTCAGTTAAGAGTCAGTTCTGACTTGACAACAATGAGTTGTTTAGTTTATTCACAACTTAAATTTGACTTTTACATTTAGCCTTTTTGAGGAGTTATTTTTGCAAAGGGTATGGAGAGCTTTTAGTTTAAGAATCTCCTACTGATCCTCAGGAGCTCTGGTGGCATGATGTTTAAATTCTTAGCTCCTAACTGAAAGGTCACCTGTTCAAACTACTTTGTAGTAGAAAGATACAGCGGTCTGTTTCTGTAGCTATCACAGCCTTGGAAATCTTATGGTGCAGATCTACTCTGTACTTGAGGGTGGCTATAAGTTCAACTTGACCCAGTACTGCTTAAAATCTTCTTGAGATATCCATCTCACCCATTACATCTACAATTGAGTTTTTCAAACAAGGTTAGGTATCTTCATAGGGACAGGAAAAAGTGCTACAACTTCTTTGAATATCAATTTTATCCAATAAGGAATTGAAAATGCAAAATAATCTGAGCATAAACAGTACAGAATTACATGAAGACTGTCCTCAGACCCTAGGTATGATGTGTACTCTCTTCTTTGGTATTCCAGTGGGAGAATTTGAGTAGCACTGGCCTGTAACAACCTCTGGTAGCCCAAAAACTGCACCTCGTTGGTGGTTCAAATGCACTCACAATTCAGGAGGAGAAAGATGGCCAATCTCCTCCATTGTGACTTACAACCTCTCCACTAGTGGGTCAGCTATGAATCAGTACTGGTTTAATAACAATGAGAGAGAGAGAGAGACAGACAGACAGCCTGGTACAGACAGATTCTTCCGAATGACCTCGTACTACACTTCCCCATAAATCTAGAGGGATGATGGGTTCACTGAATAGTTATGGCAACGCGTTGATACCGTCACAGCAGGAGTCATTGACGATCATCTCCATCAGCTCCACTTGTCCGTCTGCTGCAGCATGATGCAAAGTAGAGGCATTCATGTCATCATATTGCCTTGATCTGCATTTTCTCTTGACGAAGTTTTGTAATCGACATGAATTTTTTTCAAAAACCACCTAGACGTACATTTAAAAAGTAATGTTACCTCAGGCAAACATAAGTAAAACATGTGCACTTCAAGTTAGAGTTGGGAAAAATGTACTACACCAACGCCTTTATAATACGTATTGATCATACTTTCCTGCCAGGAAGCCACTAGAGCTTCCTACTTACGATAAAGTAAATTATTTTCTCAGAAAGGACAAAATTCTCATAGTCACAAAGAAGGTGCTAATAAATACTTAGTTAAATACATTCCAGAAAAGTTGTGACTTTCTGATGGTGTTATTATATTTTCTGAAAAAATTGAGGCATTGAGCAAAGTTTTCGTGTAAATTGAATGGATGTGAAAAAAGTATAATGAATATATACAGGAATTTTTCTCATCAAAAGGAAATGTGCTTAAAAGTAGTGTCAAGAATTTTTGTTAGAAAGGTTTTTGTGAATAAAAGAATTTTTAAGTACAAGAATCTAAATTACTGTCCCTCTTCTGATAGGTCTTCCTGCCTACAGTCTAACCCCAGGCAATGCTTCCTCTTAAACTGTTGTTGTTGTTGTTGTTGTTATGTGCCACCGTCGAGTCATTTGCGACTCATAGCGATCCTATGTACAACAGCCCTAAACCCTGCTCTATCCTGTGCCAATCGCATTGCCTCTGACACACCCATCCCGATTATCCCAGTCACTGAATCAATCCACCTCATAGAGGGTCTTCCCCTCCTGCGCTGTCCCTCTATTCTACCCAGCATGATGTCCCTCTCCAAAGACCTGTCTCTCCTTACAACATGTCCAGAGTATGTCAGACGAAGCCCCAGAATCCTTGCCTCCAAGGAGCAGCCTGGTTTAACCCTCTCTAGGATGAATCTGTTTGTTTTCTTGGCAGTCCATGGTACATTCAATACTCTTCTCCAGCACCACAGCTCAAAGCTAGAATTATATAGGCTATTCTACCTTATTGTGAAGTACCAGCATTCAATTTATGTTAATTGATCAGTAATCTAATGGTTGACCCCAAAAAAAACTGAATAAATAAAATGGTTGACCACTCATTCACAGGATAAGCAGCTCCCCCTTAGTGACTGCTAGGACTCAGCTACGGGACAGTGGTGTCAGATGTATCTCCTCCTTTCTCAGTGCATAAGGTATAAGCTAAGATCAGTGTGCATCAAATGTCAGGATGCTGAGATGTTTCATAGTTTACTCAAGGCACACTGGAAGTGACTGTTAGAATCTGAGCAAGGGGGCAGAGAATATCTATTCTGGCTGGATGGTGAACGATAAAATAAACATTCAGCAAGCAGAAACTAAAACTATAGACAAATTCGATCTTCATAGAGTAAACCAGGAAATGGAAGAACAGTAATTTGGAGCTGAAGCTGCTTAATGTTTTTCAAATATCTGGCAATAAGATTTTAAAAACTGTACTTTTTTAGGGTAGGCTTAGTAACCAGTTTTAGTGCTGTCAGTGGTACTCTAACTGGTCTGTAAACTTGCAATTCTAAAGAGATGTTCACATTCCATGAGGTAGGGGGAAACAAGAACATTTCATGCAGCTCATTTTTCTCTAACACTTCTTAGTTTTGCCTGAAAGTAGTTTATCATGGATGACATTGCGTTTCCTCCCTATGAAATGTTGAAATGGTCAAGTTGACATTCCGCTTTTCTTCTTCCCCCACCTCACAGGATATGAAGAATTCTCAAATAAGATGTCATTTCTTGAAAATTCATGTCTTAAGTAGAGTTAACTTGTTAAAAACTAAGCCTTGAAAAGAACTTTGTTTAATGTTATCAGTCTACGAAAGTTCTTGTGATTTGTGATGGGCTCTGTCTCTATACTTCTTTGTATTATTTCCATTTTATAAATATTTTGGTTCAAAAGTTTTATAGTCTTTTTTCTAAAATTAACTAATGTACTCTCTGCTAATATCTGTATCAACTTAATGTCTCTATTCAAATACTTGAAAGTCTTAATATCTGTTTTCTATATAAAATCAAGACCATTAGTCTTAATTTTACTATTCAATTATATTTTGATGGATAAACATTTCATTAAGTTACTTCTAGAATTCCTGTTTATGTCTTAAAGAAACTATGTAAATAGATTAATAAATATTAAAGCTATACCTTATCCTATTGCTAACACTGTTACATTGATCAGATATGATGGTGTCATTGATCACACTGCAGTTCAGATATGTCACAAATGATGTATAAGTTGAATTTTCACTATTTGGCTGCCAAAGATAAGAGCAAAGTCACCAAAGCCTGCCTGCAGATTTTGGTCTAAAACTGGGGCTGAAATAAAAATCTGCTGTAAATCAAAATTGAACACAAATTGTTTATTCCATAAGGCACACCCTTCCACACCATGGCATGCTCTCTTTTCACACCATGGTGCATTTACTATGTTTTTCATGTGAATGGCACCTGCTTCTATCTATTACTTTTCAGCTTCCAACCTGCCTGTGTTCCCCCAGCTCTCCCAAATCCTACCTCCTCCATGGAGCCTCCATGATAACAGGCCAGCTCTGTTCACATTCATCTTCTCAGGAGAACACACGCGCTTTCCAGAGGCTACAGGATGTGAGTACTCCACGGATGGTGCTGACAATGAGCTGGAGAACATGGTCTCATTCTCTACTCTTTCTGTGTTGTTATACAAAATAGATATTTGCATTCTAAATGCACTCAATTTTCTATGATATGTGTATGTGTGTATATAAGTTTTCTAGAGAAAAAGTGAAGAAAATAAAGAGAGAAAACATAAAGAAAGAAAAAAAGGAATTGGAAGAAAAATATTAGGAAGGGAAGAGAGATGGGGAGGGGACACTTGGAGGAAGCAAGTACCAGACTTTGTCCAGGGCAGCAGGAAAGGCCATGGACTGTTAAACATTCTACAATCTACAATCTATCTGGTCTACACAATAAACAGTAGTGCTCTAGAGATCTTAGAACTGAATGTAGAAAGAAAAACTAAGGGAACTCATTGCAATACGTAGACCAAAATGATTTCTCAGTGGTTATTCTAGCTCTGTAATTATGTGGCCAAGAAATACACTTGCCTGAAAATTTCTCACAACTATCTTGGAAGTATTTATTCTTCTGGGTCAAAATAAAAATGTTCTGTGAGGTTGTAGCTTTTTAGGAATTTCCCTATAAAATTACTCTTCTTGAAAAAATGCAGACTATTCCCCCCACCAAAAAATGACTCAGATATTTTACTTAATTCTACTTTTGATTATGACTAGGCACATTTGGCATTTGCACCTGATCCAGGCCATGGTCTTTGCAATTACATGTTACATCAGAGAGCTGAACAATGACTGAGGATGACAGAAGAATTAATGCCTTTGTGTTGTGGTGCTGGACTATTGAACATGGACAGCCAAGAGAATATATAGGTCTGACTTAGAGATGATGAAACCCAGTTGCTTCCTGGAGGCAAGGATTTTGAAGCTCCTTCTCACATACTTTGGGCATGTTGCCTAGAGGAATCGGTCCCTGAAGTAGGATATAATGCTTACAAGGGTGGAGGGACAGCACAGATGAAGAAAACCATGGATGAAATGGAATGATACAATAACTGGGATAGTGGGGGGTAGATATATCAGAGACAGTGAGATTGGCTCAGGATAAAGCAGGGTTTTGAGCTATTGTACATAAGGTCTGTATAAATCACAAGAAGTCAATAGCACAAAGCAACAACAAAAATAAGCTAATGACTTTTTTAAAGATAAAGTTAAGTACCATGGGATTGGAACTGATGCATAGCCGACTCTCCAGCGGGTTTTCAGAGGCAGTAAATTGCACAGTAGGTGACTGACCATCTTTCTGTCTCTAAGAAGCTGGTGGATTTGAAACTGTATGCCTTCAGGTTGGCAGTACAGCTCCGTACCACCAAGCCACAAGAGCTCCCTTGTTGTTAGGAACTGTCAAGTACAATTCACAGTGACTCTATGAACAACAGACTCAAACCCTGTCCTAGGCTTTCTCATCATCATCATCTCTGACACACTCGAGCCCATTGCTGCAGTCACTGTGTCAAATCCATCACTTGGGTAATTTTCCTTTCTTTCACTGGGAGCTATATTAGTGTGTCTTAAAATCTGCCGCCTAAGGTGTAACCATCTGGAACAAAGAAATGGGAAGAAAAGACAGAAAGAAACAATCAATCCGAAGGACCAAGGGCACCTCAGCCTCCATGACCCTGAGCCCAGCACTGGACAGTGACTAGTTACCGCTGGTGACTCCACTAAAAGGGATCGATCACAGCAGCAGGCTCTGGGCAGAGGGGGAGAAAAATGTGGAACAAAACTCAAAATCATAGAAATGGCCAGATTAGTTGGTCTTACTCATCCTCAAAGCCTGGAATGACACTCACTTCTGTGGCTCAACTTCCAAGCAATCAATAGTTTTATATGATGAACAATAATACCACTCAACATCAAAAGGTCATCATTTTGATTTTATAGCCAGAGGTAACACTCAGAAGGTAGGAAGGGGTAAGAGACAAGGATTAGTGGAAAAAAGAATCACACAGAGGAATCTAGAAGAACACTGCTAACTTGTGAGCATTTCAATTAGATTCATGAAACAACATGTGTATAAAAGGTTGAATGGCAAGCAATTTGCTCTCTGAACTTTCACAATTAAAGAGAAATGATAACCAGAACATTTAAAAAGCCAAGGTACTTAGTGTATCTTAATATAGCTAACAAAGAATTGAACATATTAGGGCTCATGCAAGAAATGTCAAGCTTGAATAAATAAAACATAATCTCTTAAAAGTCTGGACTTTGTATTTTGCTTCTGTTATTACAGATAAGTACTGAAGAAATCACTCTTCTATGGAAAACCTTTAGACAGAGTTATTCTATATCTGTATTATTCTAGAATCTATCAGCAGCTTTGGTTAAGGCAGGATATGATGACAAGCTTCCAATCATTTCCTAATTTATACATCTAGTATGAGTTCCTTACAAAAATGGATTCCTTTTCAATGTCTCAATTAAGCAGAAAAGTGTTGACTTGAATATATTTGGAAGCATTTTAACACCTGAATTCAATATTTTCTTAGTGATTTAATAAAGGGATGTACTGCCCATCCCAAACTGCCAGAAAGAGTCATTTACAGGCCTTTTCAGCAATATCCTGTTAGCCTAAACCCAATTAAGTAGAGATTCTGATGAACACAGGTACTGCTGAATTTGTAAGGAAAAAGACAGCAACTGAATACTTTATCCAGGCTCTTTGTATGAGTTAAAGAGACCTTAACTCTCTGAGTTCAATACTTGTCAATTAAATCAGACTTTGATTTGTTAAATTCTAAATGTTGGATAAGGATATCATTTAAACAGATTAGTACATTTGTTTAACATGCATTTATTTCTATTTTTACAGGGCCACATCAGATTCATTTGGATTCTGAATGGTATGATGAGATTAAGAACATAATATACTAGAACACTTTAGAAAAGCTAGAACTAGAATTGATGTCTTAGAACTGGGGTGCTGGAGAAGAGTGTTGAATATACCATGGAGTACTAGGAGAACAAACAGATTCATCCTGGAGAGGGTGAAACCAGGCTAGTCCTTGAAGGCAAGGATTCTGAAGCTTTTTCTGACATACTTTGAGCATGTTGCAAGGAGGGACCAGTCTTTGGAAAAGGGCATCATGTTTGGGAGAGCGGAGGGACAGTACAAGGGAGGAAGAACCTCAATGAGATGGATCGATTCAGTGATTGGGGTAATGGGAGTAGGTGTGTAAAAGACAGTGAGGTTGGCAGAGGATAGAACAGGCCTTAAGGCTCTTGTCCATAGGGTCGCTATGAGTCGCAAGTGACTCAATGGCAAACAACAACATATACTTTAATGACTGAGACATTTAAAAAGTATACTGTTTTATTGGTAGAATAAATGACAGAAGAAAAAACTCAGGTGAAAGATAATAAATGAAAAGTTTGTTGTTGCTGTTGTTATGTGCTGTCGAGTCACTTGCGACTCATAGTGTCCCTATGTACAACAGCCCTAAACTCTGCTCTGTCTTGTGCCAATCGCACTGTCTCTGACACTCCCATCCCAATTATCCCAGTCACTGAATCAATCCACCTCATAGAGGGCCTTCCCCTCCTGTGCTGTCCCTCCACCCTCCCAAGGATGATGTCCTTCTCCAAGGACCGGTTTCTCCTCACAACATGTCCAAAATATGTTAGACGAAGCCTCAGAATCCTTGCCTCCAAGAAGCCACCTGGTTTAACCCTCTCCAAGATAAATCTGTTTGTTTTCCTAGCAGTCCATGGTACACTCAATACTCTTCTCTAGCACCACAGCTCAAAGGCATCAATTCTCCTTCTATCCTCCTTGGTCATTGTCCAACTCTCTGATGCATAACAAGTAATTGTGAAGACCATGGCCTGTATCAGAGGCACCCTAGTCTCCAGAGAGACACCATTGCTCTTCAGTACTTTGGAGAGGTCCCTAACAGCAGACTTTGCCATGGCAATGCACCTTTTAATTTCCTGGCTACTGGTGCTAAGAGTGCTGACTGTGAAGCCAAGCACACTAAAGCTGTGTACAATCTCAATCTCTTCACCACCCATCCTGATGCTGCCAATTGGTCCAGTGGTGAGAATCTTTGTCTTCTTGACACTGAGCCTCAATCCATATTGTAGGCTGAAGTCCTTGACACTCTGCAGCAGGCGCTTCAGGTCCTCTTCAGTTTCAGCAAGCAGGGTTGTGTCATTTGCATAACGCAGATTGTTGATAAATCGTCCACCAATCTTGACCCCACATTTCTGCTCATAGAGCCCAGCCTCCCGGATAATCTGTTCTGCATATAGGTTGAAAAGGTATGGAGATAGGATGTATCCTTGGCGTACACCCTTCCCAATTTTGAACCACGCAGCGTTCCCTTGCTCTGTTCTGACAATTGCTTTCTGGTCCAAGTATAGGTTTTGCATGAGCACGATTAAATGTTCTGGGATTCCCATTCTTCTCAGAGTCAGCCACAGTTTGTTATGATCCACACAGTCAAATGCCTTTGCATAGTCAATGAAACACAAATAGACATTCCTCTGGTATTCTCTGCTTTCAGCTAAGATCCATCTAACCTCAGCTACAATATCCTTAGTACCCTTCTAAACCCAGCCTGGACTTCTGGCAGTTCTCTGCTGATGTGCTGTTCCAGTCATTTTTGGATAATCTTCAGTAAAATCTTGCTTGCATGTGAAATCAGTGAGATTGTTCTATAGTTTCCACACTCAGCTGGGTCACCTTTCTATGGGATAGGAACAAATATAGATCTCTTCCAGTCAGTTGGCCAAGTGGTTGTTCTCCAGATTTCTTGGCACAACTTGGTGAGCACGTCCATGGCAGCATCTTTTAGCTGAAATATGTCAATTGGTATACCATCTATTCCTGGAGCCTTATTTTTTGCCATTTCCTTCAAAGTAGCCTGAACTTCTTCTTTCATCACCATAGGTTCTTGCTCATCTGTTGTTTCATGAAATTCTTCTGTGTCTGCCAGTTCCTTTCGATACAGTGACTCAGTATATTCTTTCCATCTTCTTTTAATAATTCCTGGATCATTTAACATTCTGCCGAAAGCATCCTTGATTATAGTAACTCGAGGTTTGAATTTGTTCTTCAGTTCCTTGAGCTTAAGAAATGCTGAGCGAGTTCAGCCCTTTTGATTTTCTGACTCCAGCTCCTTGCACATTTCATTGTAATATTTTGTTTTGTCATCCCGTGTTGCCTTTTGAAATCTTCTGTTCAACTCTTTAGTATCTTGAATTCTTCCTTGTGTTTTGGCTTCTCTGCGCTCCAGTGCAATTTTCAGAGAATAAATGAAAAATGCTAAAGGGCTTTTGGGTCTTTTTTTTCCTTCCAGATTTCTCATCTTTTAAGTTTTCTGAATGTGTTGGTAATCCCAAGATAGAGTGTGTATGCTGGAGAAAACAAGCTATGCACCATTTATGTTTCATCAGGAAGTCACCAAGAAATAACTCCCTCTACCTCAGAACTCTCCATTGTTATCCATGCTGCTTCACAATGAGTACAACCACTGGAAATGTTAAAAAATTATCTGAAATTACTGCAGTTAATAAAATACAGCATTAAAAAAGTCTCTATTAGCTAAGTATATAAAAATTTATGAAGCTCTGATATAGTCTCTGAAAGCCCTACATGAAATCAATGACTCTAACTGTCTTAGGCAATAAAATGATAATAAATTTGTGGTTCTATGCTACAGGAATCCTTCTGTAAGCATCTTGAGGAAACACAATCATATCAGTAAGCCAAAAGAAGTGGCTATTTTGATAGTATGATTTTGAGTTTTTTAGAAAAATTTCCTATTGTTATTTTGTTTATATTCTTCTGGTCCTTTAATGCCATTTCAAAAGTTTGGTGGGCAGAGGGAGGGGTTGAAAGAATTAGAAAAGGTCCAGTGCAGACCTGAAAAGATGGGGTAATCGTGGGCAAGGATCAATGGTAATTAATTTTATAAAACACAAGATATAGAAATGATGGTATGAAACACGATGTGAGTAGAGGAAAGTGTGAAACATAATGTACATACGTGAAACACAATGTATACAATTTTTATGCAAACCAATATAAAATAAAAAGAATTTTAAAAAAAAGATCTTATTATAGCATTTGAAATCCACCCGTGGCTCAACTGTATGGATTAGGCCAGAGGCATTTGTCAAAATACTTGGGAGGGTGGAGGGGCGGCGTAGGAGGGGAAGACCCTCTATGAGGTGGATTGATTCAGTTATTGGGATAGTCGGGATGGGTGTGTCAGAGGCAGTGTGATTGACACAGGATAGAGCAGGGCTTAGGGCTGTTGTACATAGAGTCGCTATGAATCGCAAGCGACTCGACTGGCACATAAAAAACAATAATAAGGGGGAAAATGTTAGTGTTCTTTGATGTGTAAATACTTAACTTGGAAGAACAAATTTAACCAAAATTAAAACTACTGCTTGATGATTCTTGCCAGGATTTTAACATATACTTGTATCTACAAAAGTGCCCTTACATAGATAAACCAAAGGCACATGGATTAGCTCACGCAAAGAGAATCACCCACTCTTGGGTGGAATCCAGTCCCTTTGAGAACACCCAGCTGTCTTCAAAGAACCTATTGCCCAATAGATGGATTCTGACTCATAGGGGCTTTGTAGGGGAGAGTAGAATTGTCCCATTAGTTTTCTCAGGCTTTAAATCTTCATGGCAGTCCAAGACCTCACTGGGCTGCCAATAGGTTCAAACCAGATCAGTTTGCTCTGGAAAATCTTAATCACGGAGCATATAGCGACTAAAGCTCTTTCAAGGGGGCTCTAAATATTTCCCTAACCCCCTCCTACCCTGACTCAGAGTCTAATCTACTTCAGGTCATTGGGTCTTGTTTGGGGAGAGACTTCTGTTTCACTCTGCAATGGAGTATATATACTTGTCAACTTAACTTTATGAGACAGCACCCCTCCTCTATTGCACACACTATCCATTCCCAAAACAAACAGCCATCCTCTGCTTCAGTCCTGCAGCTGCCAAAGCGGAAACCCCGAGGGCAAAGTGGAGAACGAAGGAAACTTCACTCTGACTTCAGCCCCATCCTGACCTCCCTGGACCCCGGCATACCTTAAAGGAGTCCTTGCTGTCGTCCATGTCGCCCTCCACGCCCTCGTAGACCACGCCCTGGGGCTCCTTCTTCTCTCCCAGGCGCAGCATCTTCATCAGGCTGCGCTTCATTGAGTCCCGGCGCCACCTGGCGCAGCTGCTTGCCGCGGGCGGACACCTGTGGGCAGCGGGCTGAGCGTGGAGGCTGCGGCGGATCTGTGCAGAGAGCTCCTGGCGGTGGAGTTCTGAGTCTGCAAACCCCTCGCTCTGCAAGGGGCCAAGAGTACTTCTGCAGGGAGTCCTCCCTTGAAGTACTTATAGCACAGATTCCAGGCGGTGCATCAGGAAAAGGGTGGGAGTTCAGAAGGGAGGAGGGTGTCTGCCGGGGACTCTCCCCTCATAGGCTGAAAGCACAGTTTGTCCCTTTTCTGCCTGTCTCCGGCCTTGCACCTCCTCTGGTCAAGTGTGCTGGGCGGGGTGAAATCCAGAGAATCTAAGACCATAAAAACAGTCTTCAAGCTCTTCACCTCAAACTCACTTACCAGTCCCCAGCTCTGGAGTGAGGGAGAGTGAGTGCATGTGTGTAAAGTAGAGAGATAGAGAATAATTAATAAATTGATACAAAAATCTCCGTGGATTTCCCATGTCCATCTCCTTTGGGAAAACTTTTTGATATAGAAAAAAGGTTTTCATTTAAAAAACCAAACACCTTTTTTTCCCCCCCTGGGGCTTTTAGAATCCCTGTAAACTTTAGGAACCATTCTCCCTGGATAACATTTATTAATCCTTCTTATTTGATGTTTAAGAATAACTATTATCTGCACTATTTGACCTAAGCCATCTTGACCGATGTAAATTTGTCTGTCCTCAGTTTTGATTGAAAGGTTTATCAATCTTCTACAGAAAGGAAGAAAGACACAGTTTTCTTTTAATTGAAAACTATATTATACATATTCATACCTAAAGACAAAGAGCTACTGCTACATTTAAGCTACATTTTAGAAACCAAACAAAGGTTAGTTGTACTTAGCACAGGCTAGACCTTAGTTCCTTTAAAGCTTTTGTTGGTATTTGTCTTCCAGTGAATTCTTATAGTGTGAGGAGTCATGATGACCCTGAGGAACTCTTAGGAGAGCCCCTAAACCTTCCTGTCAACATGGCAAATCACCATCAATCCCAGCCTGGTATGTAAATAACTCCAAGACTGAGTAACTATCAAGAGGTTCAATTTCCCTCCAACATCTCTCTTTCGGAGATATATCATGTTCTGCTTTTAGCTTATTTCAAGTGAGTAAGATACCTGGAAAAACAAAGAAGAAAAACAATCAGAAAATTGGGACATGAGGTTGACTTTCACTGAGCAGTACTCTGACATTTTTACATACGGTTGTGGGTCGATTCCGACTCTACAGTCCACAACAACAAGCAGGCACACTAGGTAGATGGGTAAGGAGTTGCACTGCCATCCCAAAGGCACGGTGTTGGAATCCACCAGCTACTCCATGGGACTCTCAAGCAACTTCCTGCCTCTGAAAAGCCACTGGAGGATTAGCTATGAGTTGAAGGGAAGAAAGAGAGACAGAAACAGAGAGAAAGACAGAGTTCCGAAATGGTGACACAGAATGCTTTCTGGGCATATTAAGACTTTAATTTGTGAGTATGAATTACTGTGACCAATTTTGTTTTTTGAACCACTTAACTGAGCAAGATAGTAAAGCAAAGGGTGAATCTAGAGGAGTCTTATTGAGATCATTTTGAAAGCTGGGACAGAGGTCAGGCCATGGTGATCAATATGAGATGGCAGTGTTGGTCTTTGGAGAGAGGGGTGTCAGGACCAGGGAACTCTAGCTGTGATAGAGGAGGAGAGTCACACAAAGCTAAAACCTTTACTTTATAGTTTTCTCTGATGTCAGCATAGAATCTGTACAAAATGTGTTCCCCTTCTGCGTTCCTCCTGATGGACTCCATTTACTTTCCTTAAAATATATATTCTTCTAAACATGTCCTCTCCTGCTTTTATCCACACATTATACCAGTACAGTAAACTGACAAGGACTGTACCAACAAAAGCAAATAATAAGCAAGCAAGCAAAAAAAAAGCCCACTCATCTATAAAGTAATAAGCAGCATGCAAAGAAATTCCTGATACAACAAACTGACAGATAGGTGTTGTATCTCTAATAGCAAACTATAAAGACAATCAGGAATGCAAACAACAAGGCATGTTGTTGTTGTTGTTGTTGTTGTTATGTGCCGTCGAGTGGCCTGCGACTCATAGTGACCCTATGTACAACAGCCCTAAACTCCGCTCTGTCCTGTGCCAATCGCACAAGGCATAGGACATCCTTTTCTGAGATCCTTGATGAGACGGTAGAATGGGAATCCAGATACCGGTATTTGTCCAAGGCAGTAGCTCAGCTGGGTCTTTGGTACTGCTGTATGGATTGTGGCCTGAGGGCTAAGCCCATGGGCCCTCTTGGATCTGGCTGTGGAGGAGCTGACTATATAGATGGCCATGAAAATCCTGGACCTTGCAGTTTGAAAACTAAAATGTGCCTGATTCAGACCATGGGCTTTTCAGTTACTTCAGAGCTGGGCGATGAATAAGGATGACAGAAGAATCGTTGCCTTGTATTGTGGTGTTGGAGAAGAGTACTGAATAATTCATGTACGGACAATAGAATAAGCAGGTATGCCTTCGAAAGGTTGCCGCCAGAGTGTTCCTTGGAGACAAGGATGGCAAAGCATCTGCTCTCATACTTTGGATGTGTTGCTAAGAGAAACTAGTCCTTGGAAAAGAACATCATGCTTGGAAGGGTAAAGGGTCAGTGAAAGAGAGTAAGACCCCACCCCCACTGAGGTGGAGTGACTGCAGAAATGGGCTCCAGTGTATCTGAGATGGTGAGAATGGCACAGGTTAGCATGGGATTCAGGTCTGTTGTTCACAGAGTCTTGACGAGACATACTTGACTCCATAACACCTAACAACAACCACTCATGCTTTTATTTTAACTGAAAGATACAGATGATTATGTTTGTTGTTGTTATGTGCCATCTTGTTGACTGCCACTCATAGCAACCCTATGGACAATAGCCCTAAACCCTGCTCTATCCTGTGCCAATTTCACTGTCTCCAACACATCTACACTGATTATCCCTGTCACTGAATCAATCCACCTCTCTTGCCTTCTCCTCTACCCTCCGAAGCATGATGTTCCTCTCCAAGGATTCATCCCTCCTTGCAACATGTCCAAAGTATATCAGATGAAGCTTCAGAATCATTGCCTCCAAGGAGTGTCTCCAAGGAGAGGCTCTCTAGGTCAAACCTGTTCATTTTCTTAGCAGATCATGATATATTCCATACTCTTATCCAACAACACAGCTCAAAGGTATCAGTTCTCCTTCTATCATCCCTAGACATTGCCCGGCTCTCTGACGCGTCGCAAGTGATTGCAAAGACCATGGACTGCATCAGCGTACCTTAGTCTTCCTAGTGGCATCATTGCTCTTCAGTACTTTGGAAAGGTCTCTAACAGCACACTTTCCTGTTGCAATACGTCTTTTAATTTCCTGCCTGCTGCTGCCAAGAGTGTTAACTGTGGAGCCAAGCAAACTAAAGCTGTTAACAGTTTCAATCCCTTCACCATTCATTTTGATGTTGCCAATTGGCCCAGTGGTGAGAATCTTTGTTTCCTTCATACTGAGCCTCATTCCTTGACCTTCTGCAGCAAGCACTTCAGGTTCTCCTCAGTTTCAGTAAGCAGTTTGTGTCATCTGCTTAACACAAATTGTTGTTGAGTCTTCCTCCAATCCTGGTGCCACATTTCTCCTCATAGAGCCCAGCCTCCCGGATAATATTTTCTGCATAAAGACTGAAAAGGTACGGAGATAGGACGCATCCCTGGCATACACCCTTCCCAATTTTGAACCATGCAGTGTTTCCTTGTTCTGTTCTGATGACTGTGTCCTGGTCCAAGTATAGTTTTGCATTAGCACAATCAATTGTTCCGGGATTCCCATTCTTCTTAGAGTTAGCCACAGTTTGTTATGATCCACACAATCAAACACCTTCACATAATCAATGAAACACATATAGACATCCCTCTGGTACTCCCTGTTTTCAGCCAAGATCAATCTAACATTAGCTATAATATCCCTAGTACCATGACCCCTTCTAAACTCAGCCTGAACTTCTGATAGATCTCTGTTGATGTGCTGTTCCAGTTGTTTTTGGATAATCTTCCCCAGAACCTTGCTTGCATGTTATATCAATGATATTGTCAGATAATTTCCACTCTCTCTTGGATCATCTTTTTTATGGATTTAATTTTTTTTCTGCTTCCTGATTATGAAAATAGGGCTTGAGAGACTAAATTTTTAATTTCTAGTCTTGTTCATTTTAGGTTATTTTTCAGACAACATCTCCCTAAGATCTCTGAGAAATTATTATCAATATTTCTTATTAATGACTAAATTATTCTTTACAATTGAAAATATCTCTTTAATAGACAATTTCCTTTATACAATTACGACAAACTCTAAACTAAAAATGCACATTTTGGACAGGAACAAGATTTTGCCTAACCATTTACACCAATCAAGATCTTATTCCCTTTGAAATGTAATTATTTAGGGAGAGTAATAAAATGTACTTTCTCACAGTAATTGCAATCTCAAAATAGAGATAATTGTTAGAGAAAATAAGTTCTAATACTCATTTCCAGAGGCTAATTTTTATTATCAAGTTGGTTTTTTTGTTGTTGTTGCAAGGATCTTATTTCAGAAATGTAAAATTTGTGATAAATGGCAGTAACCAATTTTAATTAACGTTATAAACCAAAGTATATGCAAATGATTGCATGAAAACCAATTTTAAAAAAAGAAAAGTGAAAATAATTATAATAAATAGAATTTCATTCTATTTTTCCTGAAAAGGAAAATGTAGTCATGAAAAGCTATCAACAAAATATTTTATAACAATTTTATAAAAAGTCTATATAAAATTATTTTGTTGCTTCAATATAAAAAATATTTCTACTTACAAATTCATTACAAAAGCATTTACTTTTGTACAATTATTCATAGAGGTTTTGGTTTAGAAATTAATTACCATTGAATGATTAAAGTAACTA